CTTTGAAATCGTTGAGTTTCTTAGTTAGAAACTCATAAATGCTTTACAAAATATAAAATAGATCATGAAACAAATTCCAAATTTGGGGTTTCAGATGCCAATATTCGGATGGAAACGTACGTTATTCAAAATTCGATGGCTCTAGGTACCGTTGTTTTACTACAAGGCGAGAAACATACATATATTTAAGCAGATTCTTCATTATTGAATTTCTTTAAATATAATACAGGGCTCTAATATTTGGTGGCAACAATTTAAAAAGTGATTCGCCGTTTATAGCAAATCAACACAAAATACCAGAACGAAATTAATACCCTTTCTGAGCTCTTTGGGCTAATAATTAATGTGCCAAAGAGTAAATGAGTAAGGAGTGTAAAGGAGGAACGAAATCTCCTATCTTAGAAGAAAGCGTTGTGAACTGGGTCCCAGAAAATCGCCAGAATGGATTCGTTGTAAGGAGAGGGTACGCTTATTTCCCTCAAAGTGGGTGCAATCCTTTTTTAATTAAAGCAACTTAGCAACTTAATTAAAGCAACTTAGTGTAATCGATTTATGGCATAGAATAATTTAGTTCTACTAAGTTTCACTAAGCCTTTCGCAGGTTTGGACAACAAATTGATGTTTCCAGAAGTATGCCATTGACCTAAGAAAACAAAGTCCAGTAATGTTTGATACAACTGATTGAAAGAAACAAAAGCGAGTAAATAAAAACAACACAGGTAGCGAATAATTTCACCTCACCGTAGTGCTTTGCTGCTTAGCGGACGGTAAGTTAAAACCCAGTTATTTTAAAAAGAAATGCGATGACAAAATCAAATTTCCCAAATGGTGTTTTCATTCATGTTTACGAGAAAGTATGGATGGACAAAAACGGTGTGAAACTGGGGATAAGACATATTTGGCAAAGACATCCTGTCGCCTTAAAGAATCCAGAAAGTCTTTTTGGAATATGTTCAGATCCCATCTAACGGATAATACAAAGAAATTAATGGGAAAGTGTAATACAAGCATAGCAGTCATTCCAGGCGGATTAACGTCATTAGTTTATCCTTTTGATGTGTGCATCAATAAACCATTCAAAGAAAATTTAAAGTGACAGCAGAATATGTAAATGTTAGAAGGTGAAAAAATATTTACAAAACGAGGCCAAATGCGGCATGCCAGTCTAGAAATGCCAGTCTAGAAATAGTGTGTGAGTGGATAATAAACCATTAAATGAAATTAATTGCGACATAATTCAAAAGTAATTTTAAAAATGTAGTAGTACAAAGTCCGTAATCCTGACTCGTCGAGACTTCGGCGATTCCGGATTAGGGGTCTTTACGGATTATAGATCATCAATTTAAATCTGGTAAGATGGCATGCAGAAATTATACAATTAAAAATATGAAACCGTAATTTATGAAATAAAGAGCAATTATGATCTAAAACGTATCAAAATTTACAAAAAAAAGAAAAAAAAAAAAAAAAGCTTAAACATTTCTTTCAATGTAAGTTGTTGAAGTTTCTTCGTTTTTTGTGTTAATACTTCCTCTTTAATTCTCTCTTCTATAAACAGTCTCTCGCTCTCTCTCTCTATAAACAGTATCTCTTCTCTTTACGCGCATGCGGACGCGCGCATTTAGCGCGCATGCGTGAACCATGCGCATAAAGTTTGTAGCTTTGAGGTCCGGATTATAGATCATTTCGGATTATGGACGTCCGGATTAAATACTTTGTACTGTATATCTGTTACCGGCAAAGTATGAAATCCGTCATTCTAATAGAATACCTAATCATTTTATATAATGCCGAAAATTGGCTGGCAATGTATAAAATGATTACACATTTCACACATTGCCTAGGAATTCTATAGAATACCAGATGACAAACTGGAAAAGGTATGAAATACATCTCGATATTATTATATAAAATGGCTCGGAAAAGTAGGTATAAAATAACTCTTGCAATATATTGGCAGTTGTAATGAGTGTGACAAAGCATAGTTTCCACTGACTTGGAATTTCTGAAAGAATTTTAAAACAGCTATATATGAGATCATAGTTCATTTTAGAACTAAACTTCATTCTAAGAACTTACTTAGAATTGAAGATATTCCCTGACCACGAAATTCTTGTCTGGTCAGTTGCAGTTGTCATTCCAATTGAAGTGGCCAACGATTCTTCAAAGGTATGTGTAAAACAAAATGTTAAAACATGAAATGTCTTTGTGTGGGAAAAGTAATGAAGTGAATTCAAATTGTCATTCAGGCTTACTATGTTGCAACAAGTAGGTTAATTTTAATTTCTTACTTTTTATATGAAAATTTTGTTTTTGTCAATAAGAAAGTTTTGTTTTGTAAAACTTTCATTTTGAGTGAAATTTTTTTAATAGCTCTGTTTTATTGCTTTTGCAAAATATGACATTCGTATTTTCGAGGAAAGGGCTTTTTAAATGATAGTCTTGTTATGATCTTTTCTTCTTACTTTGCCTAAAGAGTAGTTTTCCTTCTATAGAATGCCTAGGTATTATAAACAGTACCTAGGTAATGTATGTAATAATTCTCATTATTTCATACTTGGCGTAAAAAAGCCAGGCATTCTATAAAATGCCTAGGTATTCTATAGAATCCCAGGGTTTCATGCTTTACCGGTAACATATCTAACAATTTAGATGGAATGTAAAATGACTGTTTATTTATAATCAGGGTAACAACAATGGTGAAGTTGAAACTGAATTCGATGATGTGCCCGAAGATCTAACGGAAGACGAATATCACGAACTTCTCGTGTTATCCGATAGTGATAAGTTCATAAGGTATGCCATTTCTTTTAAATAAACAGCACTTAGGAACATGTAGAAATCCAAACTTTATATCTTTACCTTATTTTTAAATCTACCATTTTTATATCCGTAGCATAAAGAGCATCCGTACATTTCGGTCTTATGCTTAGTATACAGTAGAACTCCAATTATCCGAATCAACTGGGACCGGACCGCATTCGGATAATCAAAAATTCGGATAAGTGAATTTTTCAGAAGAAAAAGTCTACGTACACTTTAATTAATTACTGTATGTACGGTATGTTGAAAATGGAAGAAAAAACTATTTTTAAAGAAAAAGAGGTTTTAATTAATTAAAATAAAAAGGCAACACTTTTACGTACATGTTATATTAGCGTACTGTACAGTACTTACAAGTGCTGAATGTCATTGCTAGCTGAACATCTCGGTCAAAGTAAGATGTTTGACGGACACAGTGCCTGCACTTAAAATTTCTTAACCAGCCGTTACTTGCTTTAAAGGATGAAAAAACAAACAAGCTTAGCTAAGATCTCAGCTTTTTCATAAGGAATCGGATCCGAAATTCGTAATGCTGCAAAAACCACTTGAAAAGGCATCTTCTAAATTTTTTCCTGTTTCCACCTTCATTGATTTTCTTGAAAAACTTTCATCTTCGTTTTTAAGTAGTGACACGAAGTTTAAAATTGTAGGTTTGCTTCTTTTAATGTTTGAAATCGTTGATTATCCAACACTACGTTTTCGTCTTCTTAAATTCTGAAAGCGATTCGGATAATCAGCGATTCGGATAGTCAGAGTTCAGATAATTGGAGTTGTATTAAAAGTGCGGGTTATAAGCCGGAATATACGGTACTTGTACTTCTGGCAGATTTCGCTGAATAACATACTGAAACAGCGTAGCATATCGAGCCGATGAATGATATCACTCATACTGCAGTTACGCTCTTTTTTTAATGAATTCTTTTATGCTATGCATTAGGAAAACTAGTCGTTCCAAGGTTATAAGTTAAAATGTTTAGTGATTTCTTAGGTTAGGGTTCAAAGAGATTCGAAGAAAGAAAAAAGCTTTAAGTTTGTAACTGAAGATTCCGAAGATCTGAGTATTCGAATGCCCTAACGTTAGAAAAAAAAAAAAAAAAATGTGACTTATAACCCAGTTCGCATCTAATGAATAAATTCATTTAATGTTTAAATTGATCTCAATATATTGGTTCTGATGTTAAATGTTAAAATTATATGCGAAAACAAAATTATTAATTTTTATGCAAAAGCCCAAAGAAGTTAACGGCTTATTTTAAAATAATATTTCTTCCTCGAATAACAATTTCTCCGCAGCAAGCCCTGTCCTGTATCCCTTATTTTTTCCCCTTCTATAAAACTGCGTATAAGCTAGAGAAAAAAACGCTCGATTTGTTTTTAAAATTTCAATGATTCGTTTAAATTTCATTTAAATGATATTCGGATGGAGACGTACGTTATTCAAAATTTGATGGCTCTAGGTACCGTTGTTTCATCACAATGCGAGAAACATACATACCTTTATGCAGATTTATGAACGCATACATTCTACATTCAAATGAAAAACTATTTACATAAATGGAATCATAAAGACATATTCTTCCGATGCAATTTACTACTAAAACCAAACAGTGTCAAATTTATATTTTGTTGGCCTATACTTTTCTGAACACATAGCAATAGCTGTTAGATTTTTTAAAATTTATATTTATAAGCAACCATGTTAATTACATACAAAACAATTCTCATTAATTTACTTAAAAAGTTCCTTTCTGTTAAAAACCTGTCTCATTATTTTTGAAAAGATATCAACATGTATTTGCGAACCGCAAATTCAACTATCCGAACTTTCACGAAATGCATCAAGTGTCTCTTCATGAAGTGTTGCCATCCCTAATAAATATATATATAACAGTAGAAGCCTAGCACGAATTTAAAATCTGGAAACATTACAAATGTATATAGTTTTTAAATATATCTTTAAATTTACCTGTGTGTAAACGAGTATTTTAGAGATAAAAGCATTTTTGGACTTTCGAATGCTTTCGTTTATTTAATTAACTCCATTAATGTGGAATTCTGGCATGGATTCTCAAGGATGTAAAATACCACGTGACGTATATCATCCAATAAGAATACGAGTAGCTCATTGCCCAATAAAAAATATACATTTTTCCACCTACATTGTCACATCCCAGACTTGCATGGTATGGTTAAGTTCATTTAGTGGGAGTAATTTGCGTGGAAGTGAAATGTTGTATAGTTTAGCTGTATTTACGGCTGCAAGACATGGCCGGCTGAAGGATCTTAAGGTATTTTTTATTTGATATATTTACTCATGTAGTTTATGTTTTTTCCTAGCTAAATTTTTTAAAAATATTCATGTAAATTTCTATTTCGTCAGGGCTTTCATAAAGCGAGCTTAAATTGATTCGTCCATACAGAATTTCTTTTTCGTCTTATTAATTACTTTGCTCATGAATTTTGTGTGTATGAGTTCTGTTTGATAAAGCATTAACAGTGAGGTTTGATAAAGCACTAACAGTGAGGTAAAGAAACGTGGATAACCGGTGATCAAGCGATCATTGTATGTTGGGATACTGACTAAACGAAGATGATGTAAACGGTGTCAATTGCGACTACTTGCAAGCTCTAACGGGCGACACATACAACAGTTCCATGATTCCTAAATGATTTCAGGCTTAAAGAGTAACTGACAGTGGATAATAACAAGAGAAGGCAAGATTTCAAGATACATAGAACTGGAATGCACTGTTAATATTACCATGTATTCTTGTTACTGTGAAGATTTCTTTTAAATAAGTCATAATTTATGATGGTTACAGGAAGGTTATATGAGAACATTTTCTATTAGGTTCTTACTATATTCGTGTTATCCGAAAATTAAATAATTTGCATAATTTTATATTCCCGATTTTCGTTTAGTAAAATTAGTAAATAAGGGGGAGGAGGGAAATACACGAGTAAATACGATACTTAATTTCTGTAGCTGTTTTTATATATATGTTTATTTGCAGAACTGTTTTTATAAACGCTTATTCAGTTTTGCGATTTTTGTAATACTTCTGCGATTTACGTTATTGTTGTCTTTAAATTCACCCTTTCCTGCCTGAAAATTAGGGGTAAAAATGTAAAATTTTAATACATAAATAGCCAGCAGTTCTTTGAAGAAGAGAAATACGTAATAATCTATCTCGAATTATCCAAGAGTTTTTCTATAAAATCAGTGTCAATTGATAAAAGAGTACTACTAAATTTTATAACTTCAAATTAGCAATATCATGTTCTGTATAGTGTTTTTGAGCTTAAACAGTAATGCTGTAAATTATTTTTTAGCTGTATGGTTAGTTTTGCGCCATTTCTTTTCTATTTCTGGTAATTTATTTGCCCTCCCCCCGTTGCATTGTGTTATTTTGCTACTAAGATTTGAGTTTGCTGTTAATTGGTTGTTCTTCAGTCCTCAAATAATATTACTTTACTTGTTGATGTTTTCTTACTATTATATTTTGGAATTTTTCGCGATGATTTACGAACATTTTTACCTTCCCATAAACAGTAGCGTTAACATTCTCGCTAGTTTATTGTAAACAGAAAGAACGCTGTAACTGTTTTACTTTCGATTTGGTCTCTTAGTTGGTCGACTTTCGTTTCCGCCAACAGAAGTCGACTTCTTACTTTTTTGGATATAACGAAACTCGACTTCACATTACTTTGCTTTTTGGATATTTTACTAAGTTCTACTTCTTATTACTTTGCTTTTTTGAAAATTTTAAGGTTTTGAGATTTGATTTCACTTGAAAATTTTTCTTTCTTTCTTCTGAATTTTTGTTTGATCAAACGGGTGTACGACGCGCTGAGAAGCCACCCGCTTTGTAATTCAAGTTTTCTTTTCACCATCAGAAATTTTTTAGCTATCTCCAGGTTTTCGCTTAATCATATTATTTCTTGAAGGATTCGTTCGTATTAGTCTTTTTCAAAATGTATTTTTTTCTAGAAAGCTTAAATCAGTTTTAAGTTTAACTACTGCCTAATTTGTGAATACTTGTAATTAGTTCCAAAACTAAGGATAAAATTTTATTTCGAGCTTTTTGTAAAAATAAATTATTAATTGCCACTCCACCTTTCTTTATATATTTTGCTTATTTGATGTGGAGATCCTGGTACTTTTGTTAAAAGTTTCATTTTTGAGTTCTAATACTAGATTCTGCTTTGGTTTTTCTTTCGAATTTCTTACAAATCTTGATATCCAGATTTTCTTTTCATTTCCATTACAATTTAGTAGTATGATTTTTATTCCTTAAATTATAAATATTTATTCCCATGACGTATATTTCTGATTTAAACTTTATTCGGAAACTTATTTGATGTAATTACAAAAAATGGAAATTACTGTATCACTTCAAATATAAGAGTTTGTTATTTTTATAAGCTTTTATGCATTTCACTCATTGTGTTTCAAAATTATCGCTTTATTACCGATTTTAAATCTGTTTCATAATTAGACATCGATCTATGTTAGCGTTTCAATTTTTAGTTCTAATACTAGATTCTGCTTTGGTTTTACTTTTCGAATTTCTTAAAAATCTTGGTATCCATATTTTTCTTTTCGATTCTTTTACAATTCAGATTGGTGCTACTTTGGTAGACGGTTGCACGGATTTTGGCGATTTTTCTTTTGGCGAGTAATACAACTTATTGTAAACCCATTGATGGATAAGTTATTTATGGTAACCGATACTTTGTTGTCATTTTATTTAAAAAATAATGTTTTTATTGTGCATAAATTCCGTGTTTTAAATATTATTTATGGCTTCTAAATATTAAAAATCAATTTAATTTTGCATTTTTATTTGAAAATAAAAATTTTATTGTTTATCATATTTTATGAAATTTATATTGTGGATGATGTAACCAATGACGTCCCTTACTTTAAAAGTAATTTTTTTATATGTATAAATTTAATCTAATGTTTTAAAACATTTTTTATGGCTGTTAAATATTAAAATACAATTTAATTTTGCATTTTTTTAATGATTTTATTATGTATGAATTTTAAATAATTTTAATTCTAGGCGTGATGTAATAAAAAGGCTCTCTGATTGGTTTATAGAATATTTGTGCATTAACCGAGCTATAAAATCAGCTCCCTGATTGGTTACTGAAAAAAATTTGTGCATTTCCGCGCCGTTTTAAAATTAATTCATATCTTCGAATTCCTTGAAAGATGTCTTCAAAGATGTTATTTAAATTATGATTCCGATTTTTTGTGGTACTTATCAATAAGCATATGTTAAATGACTAAAAAATGTAATACATATTTTCCTTTATTTTTAATTGTATACTTCATTTTTTGTTGAAAAATTAACTATTTTTAAAAATTGCTGAGATATATTATTGTCCATAAGTTTTATGTAATTATATTCTAATATAACGTATTTAAAGTATTGAATTTAGATATTCTAATTCTTTCAATGTTGGTATGATGGTTTTAATTCGATATTCATTTCAGTAATATTTTATCTAATTAAAAACGTTGGGCACAATGTTTTTATAGGCGGTGTTTTTATTCTCTTTGCTATATGAAAGTAATAGTACCTTACTTTACTATTTTATACTCATAGTAAATGTAGTTATTTACCCTTGCTGCCATCTAAAAAAGCGTCATTTTCAACAAATATAATCCATTACTTTTTAACGACATTTATTTTTTTTAAAGTTTTGAATACTTTACTATGCGTAAAAACAACGTTTTTCAAGATGGCTGACGTTTGTAAAAATCGCGCCAACAATTGTAACAACGTAAATCGCCAAAAATCTGTGCAACCGTCTACCAAAGTAGCACCCAATTGGTCAATTCAGTAGTGTAATTTTTATTCCTTAAGTTACCAGAATTTATTCACATGAGATACATTTATGATTTAAACTTTCTCCGAGCACTCAGTTATGTAATTACAAACAAAAATGTAATAGTTTCCAAATTACTGTACTACAAATTTAAGACGATGTTTGTTAATTTTATAAGCTTTTATTCAGTTCACTCATGGTGCTTGTTGCTATGGTCATGTGTTTATCACCGATTTCTAATCTGTTTCATAATTAGCTATCGATCTATGTTACTGTTTCATCCTTTAGTTCTAATAATAGATTTTGCTTTGATTTTTCGAATTTCTTATAAATCTTGGTATTCAGGTTTTCTTTTCAATTTCATTAAAATTCAGTAGTATAATTTTCATTCCTTAAATTATAAATATTTATTCCCATGACGTATATTTCTGATTTAAAATTTCTCCGATCACTCAGTTGATGTAACTACAAAAAATAGAATAGTTTTCAAATTACTGTATTACTTTAAATATAAGGCAATTATTTTTATTTTTATAAACTGTTATTCAGTTCACTCATGGTGTTTTATCGCTATGGTCAGATGTTTATCACCCATTAATCTGCTTCGTATTAACTATTGCTTTCTTTTATTGTTTAATTTTTCAGTTTTTAATACTAGATTCTGATTTGTTTTTACTTTCGAATTTCTTTCAAATCCAGATATTTTTTTCCAATTCCATTTCAGTTCAGTAGTATAACTTTTATTTTTTAAATTATAAATGTTTATTCACAATACATATATATCTGATTTAAATTTTCTCTGGACAGTCTTGTGGAGTAATTACAAAACATGCTTTGCAAATTACTTTCATTACTTCAAATATAAGATGATGTTTGTTATTTCTATATGCTTTTATTGTGTTCACTGATGGTGTTTGTCTCTACGGTCAGATGCTTATCATTTTTAATCTAGTTCATAATAAGCTATCGAGATCAAATTTAGTACACGTTCTGTTTGAGGATTTCATTGCAACGCGAAGATGGATTTTTTCAAAATACTGCATAGACTTTTTAACTTAAACGGTTTTTCACAGGTATCTTCGTTTAACAACCATACTAAAAATTTCAGAGTTTTATTACTGTTTGTACCACTTTATGAAGCAGAAAAAAAAAATCTTGTTAATTAAATTTTTAAAGTAATTTCTGATTTTTTGACGAATTTTCGCAAATTGCTCGAATTTTTACAATTCCACATTCGTTGTTTCCAAGTTCCAACATTTAAAAATGTATCGGTTAGAGAATTTTCGCAGATTAGAAGACAAATCCTTTGCCGTCTTTTAAGCAATTAAAAAAAATATTGGGAGATTTTTTTGCGTTAAACAAAATTATTCTACAGTTTGAAACAGAAGGGTTTCATCCTTCAGCAGTGTTGGAAAACATAATTACAACGTTATGATAAAATTTGCAG